AGTAGTGGGGCATCTTGGCTGTTTCCATAACTTGGCTATTGTGAATAGTGGTGCAATAAACATGGGTGTGCAAGTGGGGCATCTTGGCTGTTTCCATAACTTGGCTATTGTGAATAGTGGTGCAATAAACATGGGTGTGCAAGTGCCTCTGGAGTAAACTGTGTCACAGTCTTTTAGGTATATCCCCAAGAGTGATATTGCTGGATCATATGGTAGATCAATGTTTAGCTTTTTAAGTAGCCTCCAAATTTTTTTCCAGAGTGGTTGTACTAGTTTACATTCCCACCAACAGTGTAAGAGGGTTCCTTCCCCCCCCCCCTCGCCCTGCATCCTTGCCAACACCTGTTGTTAGTGGTGTTGCTAATGATGGATATTCTAACGAGTGAGGTGGAATCTTAGTTTGTGAACAACACACTTTAAATGTCTTAAATTTTGACATGCTATATAGCTAAGCATGACAGGCTGCTCTACATTTCAGGTGTTTTTAATGAACCACTAAAATAGTATCTTTTCTTTAAATTACCTAATATGTAACTATTTGACTATATCTTTCTCAGTCTGAGGGAAAAGGACATACCAATGCTGGAGATGCAATATATGAGGTGGTGAGTCTACAGCGAGAGTCTGACAAGGTGGAAATAGTTACTCCTACTAGTGAAGGGGGTCCAATGTCACCACAGGAGGATGAAGCAGAAGAAGGTAAGAAGTTCAACTCATTCATTTCACTCTATTTAAGTAACTGCTTTACTCAAAATTTTAGTATTCTCAGTCTTTGTTTGTATGAAACTATTGCCTTTTTTTGGACTGCCATAAAAATAATAGTTATTTTTGAATACTATTTATTGCTTAGTATCTGCTAGGCACCATTCTAAGTGTTTCTCATTTAATTCTCAAGGTCTCTTGTTAACTTGCTTTTAGGGATGAGTAAGTTAGGAACAGAGAATATAAGTCATTTATTTAACTCAGCTAGAAATGACAAAGTTGAGATATGACCCAGGTTGCTTGAATCTAACATTTGGAATTACGGCAGTGACATTAATTCTGCCAAGTTAGATGAGTGAGCAAAACGTATAAAGCTCACTTTCTAAAATTAAGGTAGAACACACATAACATAGTGTTAACCATTTAAAAGTGATAATTTAGTTGCATTTAATATGTTCACATTGGTGGGAAACCATTACCTCTAATTTTAAAACATTTTCATCATGCAAGAAGTAAAGATCATATCCAAGAAGCCATTCCTTATTCCCCTTTTCTTTGGTCACCACTAATTTGTTTTCTGTATTTGTGGATTTACCTATTCTGAATAATTCATATATATGTAATCATGAAAATGTAGGCTTTTGTGTCTGGCTCTTTTATGTAGCCTAACATTTTTGGGGTTTGTCCTTATTGATATATGTTGCATGTATCAGTATTTCATTTCTTTTTATGGGTGAATAATACTCAGCTGTGTAACTAGGAGTTGAATTTCTAAACATATGGCAATTCTATTTTCATGTTTTGAAGAACTGTCAGTTTGGTTTCCATAGCAGTTGAACCATTGTTTTAAAGTTACTGTTCTAGTGGTTGTGAAGTTGTACCTTGTTGTGGTTGGAATTTGCATTTCCCTAATGACTAGTGATGTTGAGTATCTTTCTGCATGTGTTGGCCATTTTTATATTTTCTTTGGTGAAATGCTATTCACCAAATAATACTATTTAAACATTGTGCTCTTTGCCTTTTTTGTTGAGTTGTAGGGATTGTAATGTAGTCTGGATAGTAGATTTTTACTGGATATATGATTTGCAAATGTTTTCTTGCCTTTTGTACATTGTTTTTCTTGTTAGTTTCCTTTGATGCACAAGTTTTTAAATAAATGAAGCACACCCAATTTTCCTTTTATTGCTTGTGCTTTTAGTGTTACATATAAGAATCCATTGGAAATCAAGGTTATGAAGATTTATCTCAAGCCATATGTGATGGCACATACCTATACCTAGGAGGATCACAAATTTAGAAGCCAGCCACTTAGTGAGACCCTGTCGTAAAATAAAACAAAATAATTTGGGGAATGTAGTTTAGTAAAAGAACACTCAACCAACATGCACAAGGCCTAGGGTTCAAGCTCCACAAATGAAAAAAAAAGGATTTCCCTGTGTGCTTTCTTCTATGAGATTTATGGCTGTTAGATTTAGGTCTTTTATTCATTTTGAGGTAATTTTTTACATGGTATGAGGTAGAAGTCTATCATATCTTTTGTGTGACTCCCTAGTTGTCCCAGAGTCATTTGTTGAAGGGACTATTATTTTGCTATTGAATGGATTTGACACTTTTGTTGAAAATAAATTGGCCATAGATGTATGGGTTTATTTGTTGGCTCTAAATTGCATTCATTATATCTTAATGCTTTATGTGTCTGCCCTTATTGCAGTACTAAATTATTTTGATTATCGTACATTATATAGTAACATTAAATTGAGAAATGTGAGCGCTTTTCAATTTTTTTTCCCTTTTCCAGAATTGTTTTGGCTATTCAGGATCCCTTACTATTTTAGTATCAGCTTGTCAATTTATGAAAAAAAAAAAGTCTTTCTGTGTGATTTTGATAGAAAATCAGAATTAATCTTTAGATTGTTTTGGGTAGTATTACTTAGCAGTGGTAAGTCTTCTATTCCATGAGTATAGGATCTCTCTGCATTTATTTAGGTGATCTTAATTTCTTTCATCAATGCTTTGAGCAAATCACTTTAACCATGTGGTTATTATAACTCGATGGAGCCTTACTTGTGCAATGAAGAGCCCTGGTAAGGTTCTCAGGTCGTTCTAACAGTCATTTGGCTTTCTAGCTTGAACTTAGTTCTTATAAGGTTTTATTTCCCCATTTGATTAAATTTATGATAAAGAAGGAATTCCTCTGAGTGTTTTCTCACTGGCAGTACCTCTTGTCATTTTATTCCTTTAATAGTTATTTTGACAACTTTTGTTCTTACCGGTCATCATACCCTTTTGTGGCTTTGCTTTCTGTTTAATCAAGCAAAGACAAATTGGATTATCTCATGAACTTTCTCAAGCTCTGTTCCACCGACCTAACCGGGGCAACTGGAGATGCCGAAAGGACAAACACAGAAGATAGATTTGCATAAAGTTGGGATCAGGTGTACTGGGTGCTCAGATGGAGATGCACAACAGCCTCGTTGCTTTTTTACTTTGCTTCTTCTCTATTCTTTAAGGCCTTACTTCTTTACTAATCTTTAAAACCTTTCTTCTTTTCTATCCTTTACAGTCTCTTTTCTTAGACTTGCACTGTTCCTTGTTTTCTTTAATCTCAAAGTCTTGGCTCTCAGACTTGCACTGTCCCATGTTCTCTCTTTAGCTTTCTTAAAGTCTCGATGCTCAGACTCACACTGTCCTATGTTTCCTCTAATCTCTAGCATAACTCAGCAGCAGCAGCCCATCAATCAAAAACTCCCATGAAACCTCCATGAATGAATCCCTGTTCTCCTTCAGCGAGTCTTTTATGTACAGTGGTAAACAAGGAGGTGGAGCAACAGTTCTTGGGGAGGGATGTGACATTGTAACAAGAGAAACCTGCATTACTCTCCCAACATAAACAATTTAGGAAAAGCAGCTGTGCTGCATTTTGCCTTCCTCTCCTTCTCCAGTTGGGGCCATGCCAAACTCAGCCTGTAGATTATTTGACACAGCTGTGTTTATGTCAAATTCTCAGAGGCTTCTCATAATCCACTCTCCACAGGATTACAGTTACTTCATGGTTTTCTAGTTACCAATGTATACTTCCTCAGGCCTTTCATTTTGCTTCATTTACTCTCTAAACAGTCTTCAGTCTGTATACCTTCTCTGCTCTAGTTTCTGAGCCACTCATTGCAGTGTCCTGTAGCTCACTCATAATTCAGTGCAGACCATTTTGACTGAATTTTATCTAACTATGTTTCCTGTTTTAATACAGGAAAACATTTAAAAAATAATAGGCTTTATTTTTTAGAACAGTTTTAGGGTTATAGAAAATTGAGTAGATAAAGCAGAGTTCTTATATATCCCTTCTTTCTCCAATTCACAGTTTCACCTATTAACATTTTGCATTAGTATGGTTCATTTGTTACAATTGAAACTTTAAATAGTGATATCTCATAGTTCTTTTCATTTTCAGTTCCCTAATGATGTGATTTTGAACAACTTTCATATGCTTATTTTGTGGAGCTGTCTGTTCAAATCCTATTTTTTATATTTAAAAATTAGTTTACTTTTAATTTTTAATTGACAAAAATAATTTGCCATATTTATAGAGTATAGTGTGAGGTGATGTATGTATATATTGTGGAATGATTAAATCAATTTAAGTACCATCTGTCACCTCACATTATTTTTGTGTGGTAAGAAATTTCAAAATCTACTTTTAGTAATTTGGAAAGCTACATTCTTGTTAACTTAGTCACTATACTGTGCAGTAGATCACAAAAACTCATTCCTCCTGTCTGAAACTTTGTACCCTTTGATCAGTATATCTCTCCTTTCCTCATCAACCCTCCCCACCCACCTGAAGCCTCTGGTTATCACTATTTATTCTTTGCTTCTATGAGTTGGACATTTAAAAATTCCACATAGAAGTGAGATCATGCAGTATTTGTCTTTCTCTGTCTTGATTACTTTACTTAGCACAGTATCCTCCAGATTCTTCTGTATTGTCACAAATGGCAGGGTTTCATTTTTAAAGACTGAATAGTATTCCTTTGTGTATTTATAGCACATTTTCTTTATCCATTACTGAAGTTAGAATATGAAATGTCCTATACAGGCTTTAAGTTGAATGCTTAGTCCTCAGCTGGTGGCACTATTTTGGGAGGTTCTACAAACTTTTAAGAATTGAGACCTAGCTGGAGGAAGTAGGTCACTGATAGCAGGTACTTTGGAACCTTGCCTCAGTCCCTTTCATCTCTCTCTCTCTCTCTCTTTCTCTATTTCCTGTCTTCCTTGATGTGAACTGTTCTTATATGCCACACCCTTCCTGACACAATGAACTGACATCTCTGACATTGTGAGCCAAAATAAATAATCCTTCCCTTTAAGTTCTCAGTTATTTTGGTTACAACAAGAAGAAAAGTAACTAACACATCCATTTATGTATTGATAGACCCTTAAAATTGATTCCATATTATTCATTGTATATAATGCTGCATAATGGGAGTGCAGTTGTCTTTTTCACTTACTGACTTTATTTCCTTTTATTACATACCCAGAAGTGGGATTGCTGGCTCATCTAATAAATTTATTTTTTTGAGGAATTGCCATACTCTTTTTCCAAGATGAGTACAGTAAATTACATTCCCTCCAGTGGTGTACTAGGGTTGCCTTTTCCTACTTCTGGTCAATATTTGTTATCTTTTGGCTTTTTTTTTTATAGTAGCAGTTCTAACAGGTGTCAGGTGATACATGATTATGGTTTTGATTTGTATTTCTCTGATGATTAGTGATTTAAATATTTTTTCTTTTGGCCATTCCTATCTCTTCTTTGGAGATAGGCAATGTCTGTTCAAGTCCTTTACTAATTTTAAAATCAAGTTATTTATTTCCCTTGTTGAGTTGTTGGAGTTCCTTATATATTTTGGGTATTAACACGATCAAATATTGGTTGTCATGTATTTTCTCCCAATCTTCACTCCGTTATTTTCTTTTCTGTGCAGAATCTTTTTAGCTTGATG